TTATTTACATATTTTGCATACAGTCCTTATTTATTTCTTAATATTGATATGCTTTATAATTTATAGGTGGATGTGGCAGAATCGTTGAAGGAGACGCAAAAGACATGTACAACGTTCTTTATAACATATTAGGAAAACTTCCAAAAGATACAAAAGTTTACTGTGGCCATGAATGTGCTAGACTAAATCTTCAGGTGACACATTATTTTGGAATATACATATTAACGACTAATAGCGTTATCATCATACAGTTATGTGAGTTAAATAGTTTTATTAATTTTAGTTCGCGAATACGGTAGATCCTAACAATAATAATATACGAGTAAGTTTGTTAGTAATTATGAAGTAGTTTATAATAATTATATGATTATTTTTGGACAATTACGTTCTTATTTGTACGTCTAAATAGAAAAAATTGTCATGGTCTCAAACTACACATTGTACCGTTCCTAGCACTATTGAAGAAGAATTAGAATATAACCCCTACCTAAGGGTTTCGTAAGTATTACGTTATATTGTGTGACAAACATTTTTGGGATAAACTTATAGGTATTTATTTTTAGGGATCCAGCTATTCAACAAGCCACAGGCGTTACTGATCCATACGAAGTTACTCGAATGCTGAGAGCATTAAATGACACGTTCATGAGCCAAACGGACGGAAGCAATGGGTTGGGAGTTCATGGGATTAATGAAAGTGAGAATAATGTTAATGAGATGAATGGAGTTCATAATGGAATCGCAGGTATGCATGTATATGATTAAGTTCACCAAATCAAAGAACTTAAAGTGATAGTGGAATGTCGTTTTCGCATATTATTTCATATGGGGAATGTGTGCTTATTCATTCATTTATTTATTTATTGTCATATTCACTTTAAACGGTTTCTATAAGATTCTTTGATTCAACCAACATCTTATTTTTCTTAGTAGATAAGCTTTTCTTCCTTTTAATACATAAAATTTTAAATTTCAGAAATTTTCGACTCTTATATAAGAATGAACATTTATGAAGCTGAAGATTTAAACATATTAAATACGATTATAGGCAAGTCTGGAGGAAGTCCAATTAAAAAGACAACAATCAATTAATTTTTAATTCAAGAAAACAAAATAAGTACTATTAAGATCTATTTTTACTCATTGTCATGCATCTTTAATTAAGATTCATATTTCAATTTAGTTTATTTCTTTCTTCCTTTTATTATGATTAGTCATAACTAACTTTCGTTAGCGTAAATTATGCACATGTATTTTATTTACAAACGAATAAATTTCAATAACCATTCGCGTGCGCGCATCTTCAATTTACAATAATGAAGAAACTCCAGAAATAGTTAATGATAACATTGATTTCTTAGTCTACAAACATAATCGGTAATAATGCATAC